AACATGCTGAGAATGCACAGTGATGTTTACATAACATGCTGAGAATGCACAGTGACGTCTACATAACATGCTGAGAATGCACAGTGACGTATATACAACATGCTGAGAATGGTGTCTGCTCATACAAAAGTTTCAGTAAATGAATCTTATTACCCATTCTCATTTCCTGTGTCCCTGCTAAGAATATACATCCAATGAGTAGATTTACAAATTTCTCAATTGATCTATAAATGAATCCAAATTACTTGGATAGGAGAAATGCCAGTTTTGAAAAAGGTCTTAATTGTTGACTAACTTTATTGTTACAAAAGTCTTGCTGGTTGGTGAAACTCATAACTTAAGTTTAAGTTATAATTTAAAATATAACAATATAACTTAAAATATTATAATATTGGTAGATGCCTACAATAATTCTCGGGTTAGGTGGTGTGTAGGTACCCATGTCTGTTGGCAGTGGTGCACACCTTTAATCCCAGCACTTGGGAGAAAGAGGCAGGCAGATGTCTGTGAGTTTGAGGCCAGCCTGGTCTACAGAGTGAGTTCTAGGACAGCCAGGGCTACACAGAGAAACACTATCTCTATAAACTGGGAGAGAGAGAGAAAGAGAGAGAGAGAGAGAGAGAGAGAGAGAGAGAGAGAGAGAGAGAGAGAGAGAGAGAGAAGAGAGAGAGAAGGCCTTTGGGGTTAATGCATAATTCTCTTCTTTGTAGTAGATACCCAGTTCTATTAAAATTAGATAGTCTTGTGATGTATTATTATTGTTGTATTTGTAAGTTTCCACTTAATAAGATAATGAAGAAAACCATGCATTTTTAAATTTGTGTTTCAAAACCAGATGTTGCTGGGCAAGGTGTTGCACACCTTTAATCTCAGTACTCGGGAGGCAGAGGCAGGAGGATCTCTGAGTTAGAGGCCAGCCTTGTCTACTACACAGAGAAGTCTGTCTGGGAAAAAAACCCAAAACAACAAAACAAACAAACAAACAATTGTTCCAAAGCTTGCCTTCAATTCTGGTTTTGTATAAACTCCATCCAAAATAAAACTGAAGAGTCTATGATTGTAGACTTGTAACCTTGACCCTAATTATAAACATAGAAACTAGAGTACTCTGAGTCTGGCCTCATTCACTTATAAACATGTGGCCTTGAGCAAATTACTTTGGCTCACATGTAACATAGGGATAATAGCTGGGACATCCCCAACTTCCTGTGGGGAGTGAATGAGCTCTGTACATTCCTCCCAGAGCTTGGGACTAGAACGACTCAGTCCTGTGATAATTGGCGGACAAGGCAGCCCCGCCACTGCAGCTTAGCTCAAGCTGGACACTAGATAGTTGTCTGGTTCACTGTGTGGTGGATGTATCTTTACCCTCCGATGTAACACGTTTCTAAGATCACTTTCTTTCAACTACTTCTCTGAGTGTCATTATTTCTTAAGTAGTCGCCTGCTGATGTTTTATAGGCATGTTCTTATTTAGCACACCACAGAAAAAGGGGACAAAGGTTACTGGCTTTACCTCGCTCAGCCATCAGAAGACAGAGCTGTCGTTCAGTGACTAGTGCCTCTTGATTGATAGACCCCAGACCCAGAGTACTACCTTCTCAGGTGGGCGCCCCAAGAACCCAGACTCCAGTCGAGTTGATGCAACAGCAAGAGGTTTATTGATGCGGCTGTACAGTCGGGCTAACTCAGCTCCAAAGAGCAAGAGTCGCGCCTATTGCAATCACATGGGTATAAAACCCACAAAAGCCATAAGATTACAATTCCCATGAAATTTCATTTTGATTGATTTATGTCTAGAGGCTAATTTCATAAGATCATGGCCTGATCACAGGGTGATCACAGAGTGGGTACAGTCATGTCCGCATGCACATTCTTCCTGAAACCTCAAGGGGGGTATCAGGGCGGGAGTGGAGTTTACACAAAGGTCACAGTGTCCTTCCTGGAACACTTGCAATTCTCCTAGTCACAGCTGAGTGCATCTCTTAACAGAGATCTCTTTACTTTGTTACATTGTGGCAGGGGTGGTTGAATAATGGCTGAGTCAGGTTGCCCTTGGAACTAGTTTTCTTTTTAGTTCCTTATTCTCCTGGGGCTTGGGGAGTGTAAACCTGAAGGGTTAGGGTCTTTCATTGATGCTTTAATTCCCTGGGGGAAATACCCTCACTTCTTGTTATAGTCAACCTTAGGATTTGTGTTTTTATTTTTACTTTAGCATAGAAAATTATGGCCTTCTTTAGTCCTCTGCAGGTAGAGTAGGCCAGAGACTCACCATTAAATACCTTTTTAACTGCAAACCAAATTCCATACTCTGTTTTTCAGAGCTTAACTTCAAGTTATTTCTTGGAAACTATGCTGAATTTATCATAGATGGCAAAAATTAAAGTATAGTAGAAAACATGACTATTAGAAAATACATCTCCACTGAGACGAACATGAACCGAAGTACAATGTGTCTCCAAAGCTATTGTCCTGTCTTTTCCTGTTTCAGCAGATTCATCATTTCAGCACCAGTGGTCTTCCACGTTGGAGTGTCGGAAAACATCACAGTCCGAGCCCCCGGCCACACTGATGCCTTTGACGCAACCATCTCTGTAAAAAGCTATCCTGATGAAAACGTCTGTTACTCTTCAGGCTCTGTTAATTTATCACCAGAAAATAAATTCCAAAACTCTACAATCTTGACAGTATGTATTTGTCTTTTTAAAATGTATATGCCGAATATTTTTGGTAAAATATATATAGTTTTGAACATTGATGGCAGAGACTGAATCACTTGTATCAGTCTACCATTATATAAATTATTAGATGATTATCATTAACTGATCATCTGAGTTTAACAAAATTCTTTTTTAAAGAATTTATTTTTTATTTATGGGATGTACCTGTGTGAGTTTACGTGTGTGTATGTTCAGGTGTCCAAGAAGGCCAGAGGGTGTCAGGTCCCCTGGAACTGGAGGTGGTGAGCTGCCAAGGGGTGCTGGGGACAGAACTCCTGGACCTCTGCAAGAGTAGCAAGTGCCCTACCCACTCAGCAATCTCTTAAGCCCTTGAGTTGAACAATATTCTAAACAGACATCGTGTTGGCTTTTTGAGCAATGCATGTAAATGTTAACGTTTTTATTGGAAAATATAATTATACCAGTATGGAAACATTTGGAGATGAGTTAGAAATACTTTTGTATTTGTATTTGTAATAATGTATAATGAAATTATACATTAAAAACAGCAAAGAAACAAAAACACGCATGCTTTTAACATTTGTCTATGAGAATTATCATTAAAAATCAGTAGAGAAACATAAATGTGCATGCTTTTAACATCTGTCCAGACTCCAGTAGTCTGTGGTTATATGTACTGTCCCAAACTGATAAAACGGTTGTTTTCATTTATTTTCTTTCAAAATCTATGGCTCCCACCCTACTCCCAGAGGAGATGGTGCATGAGGGTTGAGCCAGGGCCTTCTGTTAGACCAGAACTCTGCCGCTGAGTTACAGCTGCAGCTGCAGCCCCAGGGAAAGTGGTTACCGCAGTGGACCACTGCCATGGGTAACCAGCAGAAGAAACAGCAAGCTGAAGCAAATGCCTTTTATTTGGAAAAGGACCTGCAGCCCATCTTACTAAAATTCTGGTCACAGAAAATCCGAAACGTGAGAGAACCTCAGCCCTAGCTGAGGGTTGCCTGGCCCAGCCATCCTGCAGAGGGGAGAGCTTGGTCCTGCCTCAGCTTGATGGGTCATGCCTGGTTGATACCCATGGGAGGCCTGCCCCTTTCTCAAGGGAGGAGTGGATGTGGGGGAGAGATGGCAGATGAGGAGAGGGAGCAGGAAGAGGGAAGGGAGGAGAAATTTTGGTAGGTATGTAGAATAAATGAAAAATTTAATAAAAAATACAAGAAGAAGGAGAAGGAGAAGGAGAAGGAGAAGGAGAAGGAGAAGGAGAAGGAGAAGGAGAAGGAGAAGGAGAAGGAGAAGGAGGAGGAGAGGCCCCGTGGCTCCATAGAAACAAATGTTTCTCTGCAATGAGAAATATATAGGGAAAAGTAAAAATGAAAATGTTACAAAGGACCCAAAGTTAGGATTCTATGGGTTTTCTAATATTTTTAAGTTTTTATTTTGATTTTAAAATCCTTATGTGCGTTTGCATGTGTGTTTTATGTGCACCATATACGTGGCAGCCCTCAGATGCTAGAAGGCTGGCCAGAGTCCCTGGAAACTGTAGTTACAGGTGAGCTGCATGATTTGGGGGCTGGAAATAAAACCCAGGTCCTACCCAGGTCCTCAAGCACTGAGCCATCACCCAGTCCCGATTTTAGTGTTTAAATATCTAAAAACCATAGATGTAAGATTTCTGCTTAATTCAAGTATATAGATAGATGATAGATAGACAGACAGACAGATAGATAGATGTTTGAAATATATATATATATATATATTTCCTGTTGTAAATTATTTTTATGACATTGTAAGCAACAAAATGTCAATGCTATGAATCTTCCATGTCTTTTATTCTTTAAAAGCAATAGTCATATATACTATTACTCATATTTGAGACACACTGCTTGGAATAAATTCTAACCAGACATAGGAATTGTTTCATTAATGCTCTTAAGAATAAATGCTTTGATCTCTGTAAAAGAAAGTTTCCCAATTACTAGGTTTATGAAAATTTAAAGTTCATTTCCCCAAACTATTACTTTCTCTGGCCACTTTATTTTGAGGCATGGTAGCCACTAGCCACATTTGCCTTTAAATTCAAATCAATTAAATGTGACTGATATAAAACTTCAGTTCCTCACTGGCACTGGCCATGTTGTAAGTGCTGGAGTAGCCGTGTTTGGACAGCATGGTGACAGGACATGTCCTTCTTCCCAGGAAATCCCACTGAACCGTGCTTAGATGGTCAACTGAGGAAGCTGAGGAGCATGGAGGAGTCAACATTGACACACATAGACTTAATTTTATGTTACACTATAAAATATCTTTTTGTGCCAGACAGCAGTGGCACATGCCTTTAATCCCAACACTTGGGAGGCAGAGGCAGGTGGATCTCTATGAGTTCGAGGCCAGCCTGGTCTGCAGAGTGAGATCCAGGACAGGCACCAAAACTACACAGAGAAAACTTGTCTCAAAAAACCAAATATATATATTTGTCAATTAAATGTTTTGTCATAGTCTTGTCTTTGAGACCACTATAAAATCTTTTTTAAAATTGTATTTTATACTATTAATGAATCCTCTTTGTAGTCATTTATTTATTTTTTGTTTTCAATACATCCCAGCTGCAGTGTCCTCTCTCTCCACTCCTCCCATTTCCCCCCCACCACCACAACGTCCCTTCTCTTCCAGATCCATTCTCCTCTGTAACACTAATCTTAAAAGGTCTTATTAATAAAAACAAACCCGGAATCCAAGTATTGGGGTGAATTCTGAAAGCAGAACAAGCCACAGCTAACCTCACCTCGACAACTTCTCAGCCGATCCTGTTTCCTCAGACTGGAAGCCTCTGAGTCCTCATCCGAATGGATCTCAGCTGAACTGCTGCAAAAAGCTTAAAAGCTTAAAGGCCTAAAAGCCTAAAAGCGTCTAGTTCCTGGTCCTTACGCCTTGTATACATTTCTGCTTTCCTCCATCACTTCCTTGGATTAAAGGAGTGTGTCACCATGCCTGGATGTTTCCAGTGTGGCCTTGAACTCACAGAGATCTGGATGGATCTCTGCCTCCAGAATGCTAGGATTAAAGGCGTGTGCTACCACTGCCCAACCTCTATGTTTAATATTGTGGCTGTTCTGTTCTCTGACCTCCAGATAAGTTTATTGGGGTGCACAATATATCAACCACACTACTCCATCTCTCTTCAGAAAAGAGCAGACCTCCCAGGAATATCCACCAAACATGGCATAGCAAGATTAATAAGACTGGGCACAACCCTAGTACCAAGGCTGGGCAAGACACCCCCACACCCGCTGTTAGGAGTCCCACAAGAACATCAAGTTAACAACTATGATAGATGCTGTAGTTTGTTTTTTTAAAGTAGAGAAAGAACTCAAAGACATCTATAATGCATCTCAGTGCAGAAAATTTATAGATTTTTACTGTTTTCAAATTTTTATAATAATCCCATAGCAGTTAATTTCAGTGATGAACTTTACCCCCATGTTTCCAAACCCTTATATTTTCATAGGAATACCCTTTCTTTTGATTACCTACACTAATATATTAAATCCCCATAGCATTGAATATAAAGGTGATGATTGTGATCACACTCACAAACTGAAATGCATGTATCTATGCTGTGTGCACAGAAGCATGTGGTGTAATGTCAAGTGTCCAAGCCATTGGCCAGGATTATGTACTGAGAGAATGGAGAACACAATTCATCCAGAAGCCAATAAAGCAAAGGTTTCAAACAAATTTCTATAATAGTAGTTCTCTTAAATACATCTGAAATTTAGGAAACATGGCACCAAAAAGATTTTCAGCTGCTTAATGATAAAATTGTAATATGATATGAGACTATGAAGGGATTTTAGCAAAACTAATTTATTATTTTTGTTCCTGTAGTAGTTTTAGTTAATTTGGTTGGTTGATTATGTTTATGAGGCAAATTCTCACGGTGTAGTCCTGGATAGACTTGAAAACAAGATCCTCCTGCCTCACTTCTGAAGTGCTATACTGTATTATTATTATTATTATTATTAATTGTTGTTTCAAGACAGGGTTTGGAGAGAAACAACCTAGGGAGGGTGAGGGTGTTGCTACCTGTTTAGACAGAGCGTCATTGCCAGGACCATTGATTAAGTCCAACACGACAATCTGGTATACAAGACGGTAATCTCTGCCTCTAAGAATATTCTAATAGCTCTGTCTGACCTGGAGCTGGCTATGTAGACCAGGATGGCCTTGAACTCATAGAGATCTGCCTTCCTCTGACTCCCAAATGCTTGTGTTAAAGGGATGTGCCACTACAACTGGCTCATTATTATTTTTTAAAATTCCATGTGTATGGGTATTTTGCCTGCTTGTATGTTTGGGTACCATTGTGTACAATAACCACAGAGAACAGATGAGGGTGTAGGATCACTGGAACTGGAGTCAGAGGTGAGAGCTGCCAACTGGGTGCTGGGAACTGAACCTTTGTCCTCTGGAAGATCTACCAATGTTCTTAATTGCAGAGCCATCTCTCCAGTCCAGTGTACCTCTTTTAAAATGTTGCAATACACAAGCTCAATTTTGGTCTTAATGAGGTTACAGTGGTTTTTTTGGTACAAGGTCAGCATGCTTTCTGACTTTACAATCACTCTTTCCTATCATGGTGTTTGTTTCTTGTTTTACAGATTCAGGCCCAACAGTTGTCTGAAGGACAAAGCTCGTTTTCATTTGTGTATTTGGAAGTTGTGTCAAAGCATTTTTCAAAATCAGAAAAAAAGCCGATCATCTATGACAATGGCTCTCTCTTCATTCACACTGACAAGCCTGTGTACACTCCACAGCAGCCCGGTAGAGTATCTGATTCTTCTTTCAGGGGAGAATTGACATAAATATGTGGAACTTTTAACATCTGAAATTGAGTGGAGACCTGTTTCTACTTTACTCAAGAGAAACTCAAATCCTAACGACTTTCATACTCTCAAATAGCATTTTCATTTTTAATTTATAAAGAAAGTGCTAAATAAATAACATAACCAATGATTACTTTAGCTTCCCTGCTAGAGAAATTATCAAAACTACAGAAGATATAATTGCAAATATGATTTTAGCACTGAGAAATGATTTATCTTAAAATATTGTTTGTAGAACATTCTTGGATTCACTAGCTAGTCCTCAAGTTGGAAAAAGAAATCCAAATGAAGAGGCTTAGATGTCTGTCAGAGTTAAAGTACATCACAGGGATGCCTAGATGCTGTCTAAGGTCAGCCACCTAAGAAAGTGTCTGTTAAGCATAGTTTCTTTTTTAAAAAAGATTTGTTTTTTATGCTATGTGCATTCGTCTTTTGCCTGCATGTATGTCTGTGTGAGGGTGTCAGATCTCCTGGAACTGGAGTTACAGACATTTGTTAACTGCCATGTGGGTGCTGGGAATTGAACCCAGGTCCTCTGGAAGAACAGCCAGTGCTCTTAACTACTGAGCCATCTCTCCAGCCTAAGCATGGTTTCAAACTTACACTTTTACTGTTGAGGGAGTGGCAGGAAAGACACTGTGATTGAGGAAAGACATAGAAAAATGTCAACATTGCTTGTAAAACCTTATGTCTTCACCCACCACTTGCCATCTCTCTACAATTAGAGATGGATTATGCAAGATGTGCATGTGTTGGGAGGAAGCTGGGATGTTTTATTCATGGCACTTAGGGGTGCCATGCAGAGGCAGGCAAAACTGTTTTGTTTTTTTAACCTTGTGCACAGCAGAGACCTTCTAGTTTTGGTGGACGCTGGTGATGTCCATAGTGAGGTGCAACAGGGCCATAATAATCTTCACATTCAGCACTTGTTCCATTGGCTTGGAAAGGAAAGACCTAGTGACGATGTTGCCACCAGCTTAGACAGCCAGAAATGTTGATCTGACTCCAACAAGACGATGTGGTATACAAGATGGTAATTTCTGCCCATAAGAACATTCTAAAGTTCTTTCTTCTATTGATGTATTTAATGTGAAGATACTTGAAGGATATTTAGCATAAGCATATATGAATAAAGACTTAAGTCTCCAAGGCTCTAGGATAAAGGACCTTAGACTTTTGTCCAGAGTCCTTCAGTTTTGTGCAGCCTGTGTCCCGCCCTCTTCCTCAGCCCCCTTATCTACCATGCCCTCTCCACTGTGGACTCATCATACTGACCTCAGTTCAGTTGCTCTTCCCGCCGTTCTCATCCACATGGAGGTGGGTACAAGGTGCTGTTACCTGTGCATAGTACATTTTTAACCTCTCCTTTCCTCAGTAACTGCTGCTGGTGCCCTCCGTTTACACGAATCCCTCACAGGACCCTGCCATTACAGCTTGCCCTGCCACCCCACTCACATTTCCACACTCTCTGTCTCCTCTCCCTCTGCCAGTGCTAGGGATAAAAACCCGGGGCCTCCTGCATCCTGGGCAAGTGCTCCATCACTGAGGCACATCCTCAACCACTCTTCTGTACTCTCAAAAGCCAAAGGAGTGTGCTTTGCAGCACCCTGTGCTCCTGGAAATTTACATAACTGTACTTCTCCTCTCCTGCAGAACATTAGAAGACATCCACATCTGACCTATTTCACAACTCTTATTTCACTGTCTAGCACAAAGAAAGCATTTCAATTAGGTCATGGCTTCAATATACAGATTTTATTGATCTTGCCTCTGATACACTATGATTAATATTATGTTAACTAAAAATTAGGTTAAAAACTATGGAAATAATAATCACTGAAATCATAATGATAATGTAAACATTTGTTACTTCTGTGCTGAGTCATGTGGAGACACTTTTTCATGTCTGTGGGTGTCACTGTGAGGCAACACTAATTTTTCTGCTTACTAATGGGGTTTAACGGCCAAGCTAACTCTAGAACAGGGAAGGAAAAGCATCAAGACAAGACGACAGCTTTGAACTTCAGAACTTGTGATCTTAGCTTTTGCCACATGCTGCTAACAGTTCCTTCTTGACAACTGGACAGGGAAGGCAGATTTGTGCATAGACAGGAGGGAGCCATGAGGTGGATGACAGCATGGGAGGAAGGAGGGCACAGAAGGCGGGCGACTTGCTGACCATATTGGATTTACCTTGTTACCTTGGTAAACAGGTTCTAACGGACTTCTTTGTAGCGCTTGCACAACACTGGCCAAGAGCCAAAATGGTGTTGGGCTTACAGCACTGTCCTAATTTTCGTGTGTGGATCAAGACTCGGCTGTGAAAGGAAGAAAACGCGTCCCTGTGTCCCTGCTGCGTGAGCTCTGCCGGCGTGTTCAGTTAGGAAGCGGACAGTGCAGCTCAGGCAACCGCAGTTCCGAGACACCATCACGGACATCCTGCTCCGCTGCATCTTTCAGTCTTTCCGCTGGCTGTTCATACCGTGCCCTGATCTCTGGAGTCGGGTTGTGTTGTAGCTGTACCGTTCCATGCTGGGCGCCCCATAGTCACGTGCTCTCTGTATTTTGAGTTGTTGTCAATCTCTGGAGTCGACATACCAACCCAGATGGGGGAATCATACCTAGATAAAGAGCTGTAGGCGGTGGTCGCCAAGAGAAGGGAGTTGGTTTTATCCAGCGATGAGCCCCCACAGCTGATCCAGTCCCGAGTCGTCAACCTAAACACATGCACATAGGCGCAACACTAAATGAATGGGTGCATATGTGTGCGTGTGTGAATATAGCAACAACAGGGATGCAGTTATAGCACTTATGCATGTAATTCTAAAAACAACGTGAAGTTAGAAAGTCCTGAAACAAAGACAAGGAAGATATCTTAAGGGATCAAATTCAAACTTATAGAGATTAAAACCTACAATGGCAGAGATGAAAATACATCAAATGTTCCACTAATTTTTTTTTTTTTTTAGATGTGGTTTCTCTGTGTAACAGCCCCTGGCTGTCCTGGAACCCACTCTGTAGACCAGCATGGCCTTGAACTCATAGAGATCCTCCTGTCTCTGCCTCCCAAGTGCTGGGATTAAATGCATTTGCCACCACCACCCGGCTCTGTGTACCTATTTTTAAAGTGAATAAAAATAAGTAAGAAAATAAAAAATTAATCGGCTTTGATATACATACAAAATTTAAGAAGTAGAAGGTCTCGTAGGGCATGGCGGTGCATGTCTATAATTCCAAAACTGGGAGGCTGATGATGGAGGGTTGTGAGTCACAGGCTAACCTGGGCTACTTAGCAAGAAAACAAAGTGATGTAATTCTGTGACAGAGTGCTTGCCTAGAATGTTCAAGGACCAGCAGTTCTGGGATGTTGCCACTATTGTTTGTTTGTTTGTTTTTGTTTTTGAGACAGGGTTTCTCTGTGTAGTTTTGGTGCCTGTCCTGGATCTTGCTCTGTAGCCCAGGCTGGCCTCGAACTCACAGAGATCTGCCTGGCTCTGCCTCCCCAGTGCTGAGATTAAAGGCGTGTGCCACCACCGCCCGGCTGCCACTGTGCTTTTATTGAGGAGAGAACAATCACAGGACCTGGTGAAATAAATGTAACAAAATCTCCTGACCACAGTGACTTCCTGGAAGAGCTAATTTGGAGCCTTGCTAGTTTTCTTAAGTGGGAGAGGGTTTGTTATCCGAACCAAACACCAATTTGCCGTTCAACTCTTCAGCCCTGATGTAAGGCAGGATTGTAAACTTTCATATAAGCTACGTAGATCTCACTCTTTTGATATTATGAAATTCCTGATGAATGATGGCTAATTACAGAAATAACTAATTTTATGCATACACATGTTCCCAGCAGTTGTACATAAGTATTTTCATAAAGTGAACTATCTTGTTCACTAGAAGTAACTCATATTTGCTTTAAAATGAAAGAATCATTGGTAATATATATGTTTATCAACAACTTTCTTTTAAATATGTTTTTGTCTATAGGTTATATATGATTTTTAATAAGACTTATCTCATTGAAGATGTTTTTAAAAATGTATTATTTTATTAATCTTTGAGAATGTCACCCAATATATTTTAAATCACTTTCACCCTGAAGGTGCTTGTTTCAATAATTAGCATAGCCTTTGTTTAACAAGGTTTTTGACGCTATCACTTATTCCTGCAGTAAAGGTTGGTGTCTATTTGCTGGATGAAGAGTTAGAGCCTGTCACAAAGGAAACTGTCTTAACTCTCATAGTAAGTATTCACTTGGTATTCACATGATGCTTCCCTCACAGACGTATAGACTGAGCAGGGTTGTTCTCATGGGAAAAAGCTTTCTTGAAGGGAGAAAGGAACGCAGTCTTCATAAGTGCTTGCTTGCTGTTCTGCTTTTCCATGCGGAGTTGAAGCAGGGCAGCCCCCTCTCCACAGTGTCTTCTTCTTGCAGCCCTAGCCTCCGGAACTGTGGGACAAGCCAGATCTCCCTTCTTTAAGAAATTACCTGGTCCCAGATAGTCTTTTAGAACAACGAAAGAGCAGCTAAGATGGGCAGTTTCTCTTGTTTCCCTAAAGGACCCTGAAGGATCAGAAGTTGACACAGTACAAGGAAGCAACCGTACTGGAATCGTCTCTTTTCCTGACTTCAAGATTCCTTCTAATCCTAAGTATGTAAAAATGTTTGTTAATAAGTTATTTTCTGAAAAACACACCTGGAACTTGTGGTTGTGAGGTGGAGAAGTAGTTAAGAGGAGCCACCTACTGCCGACAAAGACAGCACACGTGTGGCTATGTGTATCTAAAGGATACTAGAAGTCAGGCCCACTTCTCAGCCAAACAGAAATGAATCCCAGATACCAGAGCATTGCCTAACATGCCAGAAGTCTCACATATCCAGGACCGAGGAGAGAGGATCACTTCCATCTAGGAATACCAGCCAGCTTCAGTAAATAGCAAAACCCTGTTTCAATAAATGAAAACACACACACACACACACACACACAGAGAGAGAGAGAGAGAGAGACAGAGACAGAGACAGAGACAGAGACAGAGACAGAGACACAGAGAGAGAAGAGACAGAGACACACACACAGAGAAAGAATTCCCAAAATTTCTCACCCATTCTTTTTATATAGAGAACAATATATTTAGAAGAGAAGAAAACTTTAAGTAGTCCTTTTTTGCTTTACCAACCTAACAGAGTGTCCATTTAAGGGGAGCAAGGGCTTGAGTTATAGCTTATTGGAAGAGCACTTATACCTAGCAGGTGCAGAGATTTGGGTTTAATCAAAGTGTGTGTGTGTGTGTGTGTGTGTGTGTGTGTGTGTGTAGGAAATTTTGTTCTGTTTGGCCTCATATGCAAGGATTTAAGACCATGTTCATACAGAAGTTGATGAAATACATATATAATGAGCACCCCTGGTGTGTGTAAATCTCAGTAAGACAGCAAGCTGCCAAATAGAAACCAAGTGTCCACAATCCTTGCTCTCAAGGAACACAGAGCAGGATGCCTAAGACAAGGGCAGCGATAAATAGCTACCACATAAATTTAAAGTAGAACCACTTTATAGTTTCTCCTCTGTCCTCTCTAGGGGAGTTTGTATTTAGCTCATTTTGAAAACATTTTTTCCTAAAAATGTAGGCTGAAGTTGGGAGGTTGAAATAACCTGGATGATGTAAAGTTATACAATTTCTTAAAATGCCATAGGTTTCCTAGTGCAGAATTGACTTTGTTATATTATTATGATTCTTATTTCCCAGACTTGACCTCATGCCAGCTGTTTCATGGTGGATTATTGGGATCCATCATGACCACACTCTCCCGTCTAAGGAGCATGGCAGCCATTGTCCTCTTTGCACAGAACACATTCTCCTTTCTAGCTCTCTTCTTTGGGACATGGGAAAATTATACTTTGCATAAAAAACTTCTCTGGATACAATGTAATGTCCACTTTACTCTCTACTTCCATGTCCTGTGTATTTTTTTATCTCCATGTCTCCATTCATTATTTATTCATTTACACCCCACCCATACTAGACTCTCAACTCCTTAAGGGCAAATCCCTTGTCTATAGTGTTCATCTTATCTCAGCAATTCAACAGCATAGGTACTTTGTCAAGTACTTGTGGAACTGCTGATAATAGTCATGATAAGCATGATAGTCACCTCCATTGATCACATCACTTCTCTGCATGGTAGGTATTATTTTTCTTATTTCCCAAATGAGATGCAGTAACTTGCCTGACTCAAACCTGCTAGAAAAAAAGTGTGAAAATCTGAATTGGCGTGAACTGTTCACTGTAAAGTCTGCGTTCTTCTGTCTTGTTCATCTTTCTATCTCAGTATAGTACTCACTAATTTTTTTTTTTTGCGTGTTTGTTTTTTGGTTTTGGTTTTTGAAGACTGGGTTTCTCTGTGTAGCTCTGGCTGTCCTAGAACTCACACTATAAACCAGGCTGGCCTTGACCTCAGAGATCCGCCTGCCTCTGCCTCCTGAGTGCTGGGATTAAAGGGTGAGCCACCACCACCCAGCTTCACTAAATATTTTTGGATGAAGATTGTTGAACAGATTATTTTACTCTTTAAACAGCCATGCTTTGTTCTCTAATACAATTTTGCTCATATGAGGTATAAATTTCATCACTAGCATGCCATCTTTCCAGAAACATTATTATCAATTTTTACTATATTGTGACTTTAACTTATATATTCCTGGATAAGTAAATTCTGAAATTGTCATAAGTTCTCCAAACAAAATTACTATATTAAAGTAAAATATGTAGGAAAAGAATATAATACAAAAAACTAAGTGTTAAACAATTTCTTTTATTTTCTAAATGTTCAATTATGTCTTTATTGTTCAAAAATCTTTCCTCCAAACTTTAACTTAGGGTGTGTGTGTGTGTGTACACTCATATACATATATTCTTTCCTCCTCAAGATAGAAATTACTAGATTTCCTCTTGATAAATTAAAACTATTTGGTACCATCTATGATTTCAAACATCTGGCTTCCACAGATATGGCAGATGGATGATTAAGGCTAAATATAGAGAAGATGCTTCAACAAATGGAACTACATACATTGACATTAAAGAACATGGTAATCTTCGATCTAAAACTTATTTATAAAAAGTTAGGTCTTTCACAGTAATTCTTTTCAGTAATGGAGCTGAGGCAAATTAGTTCCAGGTGGGGATGAGGGCCAGGGTGATGGGAAGACCTGGTTGGACGTAGGGCTGGGGAGTCAGTGCTTATTGGAGGTTGTTAGAGGGCCACAATGATGTAGAAGAGAATACTGTCATGGGACTGTTTTAGAAAGATTTAATGCCTTCCCCGCCCCCTTCTGTCTCTCACAGATAAAGTTTACAAAATAACTCTCATGCCAAAAAGTGATCTGCAACCCGAAGTAGAAAATCAAGGTACTCTAACAATTAGGTGGCTGTTTGGGTGTCTGGGGTCAGCTTGCCTGTTAGTCCCGAGGAAGGCAGCCAGCCTTTGTAGGTTCATGTTCTTTCCCCAGGGAGCCTGGCTCATGGAGGATCTTTCTAGGCTTATAATTTTAGGAAAAATAAAGAGTTACTGACAAGTCAAGTAGTTAAGTCAATAAATGATGAACTCTAAGCTGAGCAGAGTGTAATGGGTGATGATATTGCAGGGACAAGACCTATTTAAGTGACATAACAGCAGTATGACACTGAACACTCTTCCCCCATTCCATTCTCTCCCTCACAGATGAAGCACTAGGTGTGATTCTCCAGCCAGAAAAATACCTGGAACAAAAAATAAATGAACAAGGTACTCCACAAGCTGTAAACCACTGCGATTATAGCAGTCAAAGACCAAAGGGCATAAGACACGGGGTTTCCCTAGTTAAAATACAGCAGCTGGGGGAAATGATGCATGTGGAGATTTAGATCATCCCTCAAAACTGTTCCATCAGGAAAGGTCAGGATATTCTTGGCCATATCCTTAATCTGAGAAAAACAGTTCTTTATTGTTTTCATGCCTAAAACTATCTAAAATATTTGTTTTCCCCAAATACATCTGGTGAGGGAGTCCTATGATGGTAGAGAAAATAACCCTTGAGATTCCTAAGCCTAAGGTGTTATGGCTGTTGGTGATAAGGACACATGTATTTACATCATTTCAGCTTCTACATACAAACACCCAGTGCTAAAGAAGTGTTGCTATGACGGAGCCATGTATAATTTTCATGAAACCTGTGAGCAACGAGCTGCCCGTGTGAAAATCGGCCCACGCTGCCTCAGTGCCTTCACCCACTGCTGCACCATGGCAGACCAGATCAGAAGGGACGACTCCTTTAAACGCATCGCCTTGGCGATCCCCCAAGATAACTATAGAGTCTTGACAAATCTGGGTAAGTTTGCGCAAATTAAGTTCTCTAAGAAAAACAGTTTTCAAGTCCTAGTTATGATTAAGAGTTGAAAGGAAGATAACTTGTAATGCCCAGAGGAAAAGCCCATAGTGTTTTGGGGAGTGGAAACACTGTAGAACAGGCCAGAGAGCACTGATCCAGCCCATTCTGCAGACGCAAAGAGTGTTCATCCCAAGTCTCACACAAGAACCTGAGTTAAATATCTCCAGTCACCCTCTGGATGACAAAATGTGATGAGTCTGTCACATTACAGTCACCAAAAGTTGAAATCTTATTTCAGCATTAGCATTATTAGATGTTTCAGGATTAAAGAACTTTCTTAATATTTCCAAAACTTTAAGGACTCTCATTTATATACTGTTGTTAAGAAAACAAACAAGCAGAAAGATGCCTTCTGATTTCACTCTGTTTTTCTTTTTAAATTATTTTTTTTATTTGGGAGATTATGATATAATCACATCATATCCCCCTTTCCTTTGCTCCCTCCAAAACTGTCCGTATACCCCTCCTTGCTCTCTTTCAAATTCATGCCCTCTTTTTTCATTATTTTTATTAAACTTACATGTGTATATATGTCCACACATGTGGACAAAGATGTTGGCTGTCTTCCTCAATTACTACCCACTTCACGTCTTTGAGACAGGGTCTCTCACTGAACCTGGGGCTCCCTGATTTTGCTAGGTCACCTGGATGGCGGCCTCCAGGGATCTTTGTGTCCCTGCCTCTCCAATGCTGGGAATGCAGATGTGCACTGCTGAGCCCCACATTTGCATAGGTGTTAGGAATCCAAACACAGGTCCTTAAGCTTGTGCACCAAACCCTTTACCCACTGAGTGTCTCCAGCTATTAGTTTCTCTAACTTAAAGATGGCTTTTAAAAGAGAGAGCATTTATGGGTTGCTTATGGTCATAAAATGCAAGTTTAGGCCCATAGACTTCTATTCTGTGACTAATGTTCTTTAAAGTATGTGGGGGACCCGCTCCCACTTTTACCCCAGGGTACTCTTGATGAGGGAGAAGTGAGAAATATTTAGATAGAAGGATGAAGGGAGAGAAACAGAAACACAGAATAGCTCTGGGAGGACCTGGGTCAATACCCAACAGCCCCTTCTGTCTCTTCTAAAGGGATTTTTTTTTTCATTTTTATTTATTAAGAAATTTTCTACTCACTCCACATACTATCCACAGATACCCCTCCTCCCTCATCCCTCTTCCCACCCCCCAGCCCTCTAAATTAAGGTCTCCCATGGGGAGTCAGCAGAGCCCAGCACACTGAGCCTAAGCAGGTCCAAGCCCCTTCCCACTGCACCAAGGCTGTGCAAAGTGTCACACCACAGGCACTGGATTCCAGAAGCCTGCCCATAGACCAGGGACAGATTCCGATCCCCCCGCCTGAGTGCCCCCCAAACAGTTCGAGCCAAACAACCATCTTCCATATCCAGAGGGCCTAGTCCAGTCCCATAGGGGCTCCACAGCCACCAGTCCACAGTTCATGGACTTCCACTAGTGTGGCTAGTCATCTCTGTACGTCCTCCCATCATGATCTCAACGTCCCTCACATGCAGTATCTCTCCTCTCTCTCATCAATTGGATTCCCGGAGCTCAGCCTGGTGCCTGGCTGTGGATCTCTGTATCTGCCTCCATCAGTCACTAGACAAAGGCTCTATGATGACAGCTAGGTTATTTGCTAGGCTGGTCACCAAAGTAAACCAATCCAGGCACCCTCTGGACCACTGCCAGCAGACCAAGGTGGGGTCGACCTTGTGGATTCCTGAGAACCTCCCCAACATCCTGCCTCTTCCTATTGCCATGATGTCCTCATCCATTACGGTATCTCCCTCCCTGCCCTCCCACTCTGTCCCTGTCCCAGCTTGACCCTCCCATTTCCCTATGTTCTGATCCCCCACTCCTCCCCCTCTGCCACCCCCCCCAGTCCACTCGTGTAGATCTCATCCACTTCTCCTTCACAGGGTCATCCATGTGTTCCTCCTAGGGTCTTTCCCTGTTAGCTAGCCTCTCTGGAGTTGTGGGTTGCAGTCTGGCCATCCCTTCCCTCACATTTAGTATCCACTTATGAGTGAGTACATACCATGTTTGTCCTTCTGAGTCTGGGTTACGTCACTCAAGATGATATTTTCTAGTTCCATCCATGCAAATTTCATGATATCATTGTTTTTTACTGCTGAGTAGTACTCCATTGTGTATATGTGTCATATTTTCTTTATCCTTTCTTCAGTTGAAGGGCATCTAGGTTGTTTCCAGGTTCTTGCTATTATGAATAATGCTGATATGAACATAGTTGAACATGTGTCCTTGTGGTATGATTGAGTATTCCTTGGGTATATTCCCAAGAGTGGTATAACTGGGTCTTGAGGAAGACTTACTCCCTATTTTCTGAGAAACAGCCATACTGATTTCCAAAGTGGCTGTACAAGTTTGCATTCCCACCAACAGTGGAGGAGTGTTCCCCTTGCTCCACATCCTCTCCAACATAAGCTGTCTTTAGTGTTTTTGATCTTAGCCATTCAGACAAGTGTAAGATGGTATCTCTGAGTTGTTTTGATTTGCATTTCCGTGATGACTAAGGATGTTGAGCAATTCCTTATATGCATTTCAGCCATTTGAGATTCTTCTGTTGAGAATTCTCTGTTAAGCTCTGTAGCCCATTTTTTTAAATTGGATTGTTCAGTATTTTGATGTCTAGCTTTTTGAGTTCTTTATATATTTTGGAGATCAGCCCTCTGCCAGATGTGGGGTTGGTGAAGATCTTTTCCCATTATGTAGACTGTCATTTGGTCTTATTGACCGTGTCCCTGAAGGGATTTTTAAAGGAATGCCAAGGGGTAGAGCAAAAGACTTGCCCCCAGCTCATCCAATGCAGACCCTTCCAATAACCTGGTAACCACGCACATGGTCAAGCAATCCTCTAATGCAGCCCTGCTGGGTAAAGCAAGCTCAGATCTTACTAGGAAACTGTGAGCCTTCACAAAAGTTTAGTGTGATTTTTTTTTCAATTTTAATACAAATTCCATGAAAATTTTACTTAGAAAATGAGTTGACTATCTGACTGTATTGAATATCTAATTGTTAACAAACCAGAAGGAAATAATAAATTATATTACAGAGAAAAAATACTGTTATATAATTGTCATCATAATAAGAAAGTAGCTCTATTGTAAAATCCTTCTGATTGAGGCGATGGTGGCACACAACTTTAATCCCGGCAGAGGCAGGAGGACCTCTGTGTGTTCAAAGACAGACTGGTCTACAAAGCAAGTTCCAGAACAGCCAGGGCTACACAGAGAAACTCTGTTTCAAAAAACCATAAATAAATAAATAAATAAATAAATAAATAAATAAATAAACAAATTTAAAGCACAAATAAATAAAATAAAATCCTTCTGATCAACCTCCTCTCATATCTGATACTGCAATCAAGATTAGTTCAGGGATCACTTAGCTGAGAGGAAATCTTATCAGGAAAGAGAACCCAGTTCTAGAACCTTGGACAGTGGTCTGGACGATGATACAAGCTATGACCTTGAAGAAAGGACCTAAGCTGAAAAATGAGGTAAGACTTATATCTAACGTGCTGTTGTACAATAAAACATCTCTGTCCCAACACACTAACAAGGCTGTTGTATCAGGTGAAATCATGATGTGAAAATACCAAGAACTCAGCTCCCAGTCACAGGACCTGGGATCTCAGGCTCAAGCTGCTGCAGCCAAATGGCAATCACATGAAAATGACATGTAAAGAATAGACAGACGGGAGCTGGAGAGATGGCTCAGTGGTTAAGAGCACTGACTGTTCTTACAGAGGTCCTGAGTTCAATTCCCAGCAACCACATGGTGGCTCACAACCATCTGAGATCTGGTGCCCTCTTCTGGCATGCAGGCAGAACACTGTATACATAATAAATAAATCTTTAAAAAAAAAAGTATATATAAAAAAAAAAAAGAATAGATAGACGAGCAGTGCCGAATTCACTGCCCAGCCATCGATTCCTTGCTTGTGTTCCAGGGAAGTATTCTTCCACATAAATAGACAAACAGACAGACAAACAGCAGAAACAGAAACAGCTCTCAGTTGCTATGGAACCTGAGTAATTGAGGACTGTCTGCATTTAATTACAGTAGTGATTCCTAGGTTACAAATGAAGTTGATGACTTGCCAATAACTTAAGGATTTTTTCAAACAAATCTCATAGGCAGGTGGATCTCTAGAGTTTGAGGCCAGCTTGGTATACACAGTCTGTTCACAGGCTGCTGGGAGCTGTATAGTGAAACCCAGTCTTAAAAAATAAAGCAAGTATCTCATTTAAACAATATCTTTTTAAAAAAAGAAAACAACTTGGTTCTTTAAGAAATAAAAAAAATTTAAAAATCTCTTGGTTTTCTGAATAACTTACTAAATGTTCTCTTGTCCTTTCCTCAGATTTTCAAGCTTAATCTGTCTCCATACTGGAATATGCTCAACACTACTTCCTGCAAGATAAAGTAGTTGAAGATTACACATAGTTTTTGCTGGAAACTAATGGACAAAACCAAACTTCATTCATACAGCATTGAAATCCTTCCATCGTAACTTTACAGTGAGGAACCTTGGCAGCATGGAAGCCTTTTCCAAAACTATAATTTACCAGTCTGTCTCACAAGTGAGACCAAGTCAATAAAACATATCACCAGAACAGCTTAGTAATCCTCCCCTCCTTACTATCAGGTGTTGAGGTGTGTTGACCCAAAAGAGGGTGCTCACAGCACTGTCCTGCCACAAAAAATGCCGACATGCTGCCCAGGGAGAGCTGAAGACTCAACAGCACATGCTGCTGTGTGCCACCAAGCTGCCCAGATGCCCACATGTCCATAACTCTACATTAAATCATCATGAGTGATCAGTTATGCCAGAAGAACATGGGAGCCTCTAAAATGATACTGTGCTTATAAATATGTATCATAATCAGAATATTTAATTCAATAAAATACTATTACCCATGTTGAGAAGTTTTCAGTGATGAAATTTTCCCATGTTGTTTATATCTTATCTATTTATTTCTCTTGGCCAATTTTCTATACTAGGCAATTTATTTCTATTTTTCCCCATTTTCATTTCTATTTTCTCTGCAATTATTTACATCAGGATCAACTCTTTTTATGAAACTTTTATTTTAAGACAGATTCATTTGTTTGTTTTTTCATTTAATTTTTGACTTTTAGAGACTATAATTGTTAGTTGTTTTAATTTCTTGACCATAATAATTTAATGAATATAGCCTGGGGTGTGTAGATATTAGCATTTTCAGGGTTTGGCGCGATGGAGTGCCTGTTAGTGGTGAGAGTCAGCTGACAAAAGCTCTTGGTTTAATCCCTAGCGCTAATAAATAAATTCAAGATTTAATTCTTGCACCATTTTGATTATAGCATGTTTTCTACATGTAGTGTTACCCATTGTCTGTTTTAGTGTATTTATTTCCCACAGAATGTACATTATAAATTTGAAGCAACATTGAAAGCATATTTCTTGCAGCAGTGAGAACAAAGAACATAAAAGTAAATGCAATCAATTGAGTTAAATTCCTTTAGTATCAGAATTCTTTGTGGAATGAAGTCATGCATTGTAGATAATATCTTGGGATGGTTCCTACTGAAAGAGAATTAAAAATAAAAGTTGATGCTCAAAAATGTTTTGCTTCCTGGTAATGGTAGGTATTCTTCCACACATAAATGATCTCAAAGTGTAAGGGCAGCTATCATATGAAAATGCTAGCCCATCAATGCATATGCATCAAAGTACCTGCTGTTATAAGTGATTCTTTCAGTAAAATAGGTAGCATTAGTGTGCTTCTCTAACAAGGAAGACCCTGCCAAACTATCTAGAGAAGCAGTTACCTGTTTTTGTTGCATAGTAAGCTGAACTCATAAAATTTTAATAACTTTTTCACTTTCTCATTCTTCCCTTTTGGGCTAGAGCAGAAATAAGATACCATAATTTTTAATATATTTTTCCAAACTCTCTGTGTACTACTTGGAAACAAATGAGTGGATGCTTTCTGTCACACATTCCATGGCATAAAGCACATAACACAGATATGTTCATCAGGGCCTGCTGTGATCAGGCAGAAAAACAGTAGGGCCTTTCTGTTGTCTAGACAGTCCCTGGTAGACTCTAGCTGACCACAATTAATAAGTCTCCTAGAGTCACTCTCTCCCGGTGACCCTCAGTGGAAGGTAACACTTCATACTAAGACGCTCAGATTATCCAACATGAATCCCCGCAGTGTTATCTGCCTTTCCCTCTTCTCTTCTCCCCTTGAAGTGATAGCATTCTCCTTCAAAACTGGGTATATTTTATATCATCTCACCCTCCTTCCCTTCTCTAGGGCAGTCAGCATCCCTCTCTCAACCTCAAAGTTAAAAGCAGTCACTTTAGGGGTTGGGGATTTAGTTCAGTGGTAGCGTGCTTGCCTAGCAAGCACAAGGCCCTGGGTTCGGTCTTCAGCTTTGAAAAATAAAAAAGCAGTCACTTTATAGGACATATGCATTATGCACTTACTGTGTCCAAATTGTAGCAGGAAGCACCTGCCCTGTAAGTATGAGGATCTAAGTTTAAATCTTTAGCATCCATGTGGTTTTGTGTTGTTTTGTTTCTTGTTGTTCTTGTTATTATTGTTTTTAAAGCCAGTGTGGTAGTTTGAATGAAAATGGCCCCCATGGAGTGACACTGTTGAGGAGGTATGGCCTGGTTGGAGGACGTGTGTCACTGGAGGTGGGCTTTAAGGTTTCAGTTGACCAGATGTAGAACTCTCATCTACTTCTCCAGCATCATGTCTGCCTGCATGCCACCATGTCTCCTGCCATGACGATAATAATCTAAGCCTCTGAACTGTAAGTCTGTCCCAATGAAATGTTTCCTTATAATTGCTGTGGTCATGGTTTCTTTTCACAGCAATAGAAACCCTAACTAACACAACCAGGCATCTTATGCTTGCCTGTGATCCCAGTATTAGGTGGTGTGGCAGATCCCACTGTCCAGCCAGCCTCATGGAATGGCAAGCTTCCAGTTCAATGAAAGGCTCTGCCTCAACGCAACAAGGGAGTACACAGTAGAAAGAATCCAACACCCTACTCTGTCCTACATATGTATGTACATGAGCAGGTGCACCCCCACACTCTGCATACATGCATCACACACATATACATGCACCCCCAAAAAATTGCACAAGAAAGTAAACAGCAGATAGAAGAGATAGCATACAAAAGGGAGAAAATCTTTGTCATCCATTAATCTCTCAGTGAATTATTAGTCAGAATGTATAAAGAATTGGAAAACTAAATGCCAAATAAACGATCCAACCAATAAAGGGGTAAATGAGTTGGATGCAGTTTTAAAAAGAAGTATAGTTGCTGGGCGGTGGTGGTGGCGGCGGCGGCGGCAGCGGTGGTGGCGGCGGCGGCGGCGGCAGCAGCAGCAGCAGAGGCAGAGGCAGTGGATCTCTGTGAGTTTGAGGCCAGCCTGGTCTATGTAGTGAGTTTGTTCAAGGACA